TCACTGATGATGTGTTTACCTTTATCTCTTTCAGTTGACAGTTCCGGGAAATTCAGTAAGTTTGTATCACTTCCTCACCTTCCCTGTTTCTTTGATTAACACTGTTGAGTTTCTGTTGCCAAATCCTCTTGAGTTACAAATCGTTCTATCTGAAAAAGTCATTCTGTCTAAGTGGTTCTCTCTTGTTTCAGTTTGGGTCCTTCCTGTCTGTTTTCCCTTTGTAGTAGAATACAGTATCTTGTCTCTGATTCAGTTACTGTGGAAGACTACTGATGGAGCACATGGCATCCCATACCCAGCGGTTCTCAGCCTGCGGGACACAAACCACTTGGCAAACCTCTAGCTCCCAAAAATGTTTACATAACTATTCATAACAGAGGCAAAATTACAGTTATGAAGTAGAAACAAAACTAATTTTACGGTTGAGGGTCACCACAACATGAAGAACTGTTTAAAGGGTTACAGTGTTAGGACAATTGAGAACCACTGATATAGTCTGTCATAATGGGACCGGCTTGCTCTGTGCTGTGCTCTGACAAACTGATTGTTCTCACTTAAGATGAAAAATATTCTCAGAGTTGTGTGTTGGTGGCGCATGCCTTTGATCCCAGATATCAGGAGGCAGAGGCAGGCAGATCTCTGTGAGTTGGAGGCCAGCCTGGTCTACAGAGCTAGTTCCAGGACAACCTGGAAAGCAATACAGAGAAACCCTGTCTTGAACGCCCCCCCCCAAAAAAAAGAAAGAAAGAAAGAAAGAAAGAAAGAGAGGAAAAGAAAAGAAAAGAAAAACTCTAGGGCTCACAACACATGCCTGTCAAGACGTGATGATGATTGTGATCACTATCATTAGGAGAATGGGGTTTTAAAGTGACTTGCAGAAGAGTAAGGGAAGGCAGGAAATTTATTTCCTTAGACCCAGGGAGGACTGGTGTCACCCCAGGGAGGACTGACATCATCACCAGGCTGAGGATGTGGATCTTAGCTCAGTGGGACAGAGTAGTCTTCTCTGTGTCAGAAGGCTTGAGGTCAGTTCTCAGCCCCCATGAAGAGGCAGCTCCCAGCTGCCTGCAACTCAGCCTGGCGTCATAGAGCACCTCCACACCTGTTTCACAGACATAAACACATAAAGGAAAATAAAAATAATCTTCTAGAGAAAGGCTATTGGAAGGTGGGTTCTCTTAGAGTTTGAAAATCTCCACTGATGTCTCTTCTGTGTTTTGTTTTTTAGCACTACTTCCTATGGGTAAGTTCCTTAACAATTTTCAACTCAGATATGTGATGTAGAATCTCATACTTTCTGTATGCCCCAAATGGAGGCCTTTAATTCTAAGATCACCTCAGATGCTCCTCTTATTCAAAATCTTCTAAGGCTCCCAGGGTCTGCTTTGGGGGCTACCCCTGCAGGGGAGTTGAAGCCCTACAAAAGGTATAACACCTGCACCCCAACCACCTCCTGGGTGTCCAATGAACATGTCCTCACTCACCCTCAGCAGAGCACGGGGAGAATACATTCTGAACCTCGTAGTTCTTAGAGCTCCTTGCTGTTTGTAAGTGGAGGACCTCACCTCCTTTCAGCTGCCTTCTAAATGACTTGGTTTGACAGGCAGGGGTCACTCGGCTCCTGTCCATACAGAGCGCTCCCCAGCAAGAGTCCTCACAGTTTACTTTGGCAGCCTAGATAGTCCTTTTACTTGATTTAGGGAACCAAATTACTAAAGAGAAAAACACAAACAAACAAAAAAAAATCACAGAATTCTTACCCAAAGCTACAAATTGAGTTTTATGAAACAACCTAGGAACTGATGCCCTGGAGGGTTGGTTCACCCACACACACAGTTAAAGGGATTGAAATGCTGACAAAGGAGCTAGTGTGTTTCAAGTAGTCTAAAGTGATATTTAAAGCTGAACTCTGGAGTCTGACTAACAGGTACAGTTCCCAGAGCCACCATCAGCATCACCTAGACAACACTCTCATTTCATCTTCAGCTGTAGAATTCAAACAACAACAGTGTCCGGCTTACCTGGCTGTTGTGAAGATTGGACTGTTTCATATTATGGTCAAAAAAGTGGGTGCTGGGCAGAGCTGGAGAGACTCAAAGGGGAGATCAATGGTTAAGAGCACTTACAGGTCATGCTGAGGTCCTGATTCTCTGAACCTGCATGGTGCCTCACACCAGTTCCAGGGAACCTGGCACTCTCTTCTCACCTCCAAAAGACACATGTGGTATACACATATGGTGCCCTTTCACCAAAAACACACACTGAACACAAAATAAATAAATCTGAAAGCATAGGAAGCGTGGGCGCTTAGAATAAGAGGAGCACAATGGCTCAAAGCACTCTTACTGCTCTTAGGGGATGAAACAGGCTTCTTGTCAACAGGGACAGCACATATTAAGAGATAAATGTTTCTTCCCACAGTACCTCATTCACTCTGATTTGTTCCCAGGCTACAAACTCATTAACCCCTTAGCCAATACTCATTAGTTCTATTACTGAGCAAATGGCAAATTCCTTCCCGTTATGTCTCACCTTTTCTCTCACTGGTCTTCCCGTTTCCTGAAAGGAATCCAGAATTTTATCAATAATATCTGTACTTTATTATTAGTTATCAACACCTGCATTATCTAATGTCTAAGTCACATAAATATCTACACTATGTGATTTCCACCATTTTATATTGGGGGGAGGGGACAGAAATTCTGGATACCTGAATCACACCTTTTTTTGTATACTCAGTTCTATTCCCAGGTTGCACAGATGGAAGACTTCCCAAAAAAAAAGCAGATTCCAAAGCCCAGATGATAAAACACGGAAGGGCAGTCTTCCCGCAAGGATGCAGGGAGACATCGAAGAAGAAAACGGTGTTAGGTACCAATGAGCCCTTTACAACGCTGCACAAAAAAGAGATAATAGGAAGAATCAAGAGCACCCATGCGGGGATTGGGAACAGAGGACGGCTGAAGGGCGAGGCCAGGACTCCAAAGTTGAGCGACTCCCACCACAGGAACAGATCTCGACTGCTCGAGTGCAACGAAGCCCATGAAAGAAGGTGCGTGGGTGGCGTTCTAAAGAGACGCGAGGCCCAGACAACCAATCAGAAAGGAATTCCAAGAAGACTGGAATCTCAAGTAAGGTTTCAAACAAAGCTCGAAAAAGAAATTTCAGCTGAAGCCCTTTGGTGTGAACCAACACCACCAGTTTGCAGAAATCCGGAATCCCTCATGAGGAAAAATGTGGAAGGCATACTGAAGAGACAGGATTCACTTGAGGAATAGCCACCGGCCACACAGAACCCCCAAGAATGGTGTGCTGCTCCACCTCCTTGCCCTCTGCAACCCCAGCCAGATGCACCTCCTCCTGCTACAATTTAAGCCCCGCCAGAGGCACCTCCTGCTCCACCACGTGGGCCATAGGGGCTTCCACTGTGATCTTCAGGTTCAAGCTGTGTCTCTGCCCTCACCCCGGTGGAACATGGTTACAAAATCCATTTCCTCTAGACATCTTCGTTTTCTGCTATTCAGAAGTTTGCCGTTATTAGACTTCCCTGCCACAAACTACATCTTCCCAATTTCTCTCTGTAAGCCAATACGTATTATAGACTCCAATGAAGAAAGACAGTGTTCTCAGAAATAAAATGTCTTTACTAAATATCTAATAACATCCTTTGGCAGTGTTCTGTCTCTAGCTCACCTCTCCTAAGGAAACTTATTTAAATCTCTGCCCCACTAAATACATAAGATTCAAAGATTAAGGTAGAATCCTGCTTCCCAGAGAGACCGAGCAGCAAGCAGCTCACCTAGCTCACCTCCTCGTGTCTCCCAACAAGACCTCCTGCTCATCCTTGCCTTCCTTATAAACCTTCTCCACCCGGCTTCTCCCCACAACTTCCTGTCAGCTGGTTGCTGACCCAGCCTCCTGACTGCAGGTGAATTTTATTTAACCAAACACATCTTTGCATCATTAAACAAATGTTCCAGAGCATAAACAAAAGTAACACACCTTACGTTAATAACACTCTGGATGTGTTGTTGATGTGAGCAGCTGAAGTAGAGCTCAAAGTAAGTGTTGTGTTAATGCTACGTCAGCGTCATAGAGCCCCAGTTTGGAATTCCATGTGATACTTGTTTGTGGCCATACACTTCATACTTAGCATTCATTTATAAAAATATTATGTATTTTTTTTTACCATGACTTAATATCAGAAGAAGCAAACTGAACTGATGATAATAGAATTGACAGCTTTTTGTTGTGAAAAAAGTAAAAGCTGTATTAGCAGATGATCCTTGGGAGAGAATTATTATTTTGCTTTTCAAATTTTTTAGAAAGATTGAGCTCTTAAATAAAATGTAAAGCTTACCTTTATTTCTGGGGATGGTTTCCTTCCTTTCCTTTTGACCAAATTCCTTAAAACGTTTTTCCTCTTTCTCCAGAGAAATTCAAGACAGAGCTGGGTGAGTGAGAACCTCACACACACCTCCCCCTGGGGGTGGGGGGGCAGAGCATGGAAAGCCACTGGAACACTTCATAACCCCAGAGAGAGAGAGAGAGAGAGAGAGAGAGAGGAGAGAGGTGAGAGGCAGGGCTTCCCTGTGCTGGTGCAGTTGGTGTGAGAAGGGAATGGAAGGGCACAGGCCTCCACAGTCTCCTTCAGACACGGTTGCAGGGAAGGGCTTCTTCAATGTCTGTTGCTACACTCTCACCTGCCACACACTTTTAGCCCATGACCAGAGGGTGGTGTGGATCCCCGCACCCTCACATCTCCCAACCTAACCCCTGCTCACACAGCATGATCACCAAAGAGCCTTCATTTAATCCCACAGCAAGCTTAGGATTAGCAGTGGGTAAATTCTATAGTTTAAAACTCCAAAAGCATGGACTGGTCTGGTGTGTAAAGTCAGTCAGATTTGAAGTGATGGGGGATTCATTTTATTCTGAGAGTTTTAGCAGTAAAACCATCTTGGTGTGTAGCCTGGGCTTAAACTAGTGCTCTCTTCAGACTAGCAAGGCTTTACCTGAAACTCCACACCATGAGCCTGTGAGTCCCACCCTCCTCCAAATGTGACCCTGAGACTCATTCCTCCCCAGGGGTGCTTGCAGGTTCTGGACCTCACAGGAGATGCCTGTGTTGGTAGAGTTGCTTCTCCATGTTGCTTCATTCCTGTTCTCTGTCTGGTTTATTTAACAGCCACCTCAAGGGTGACTGGACCCTCCCAGCCCATTCTTGTCCGAGTCAGAGAGAACATAGAATTAACTTGTCACCTGTCACCTCAAGCAGATGCTCAGAGCATGGAGGTGACGTGGGTCTCATCCCACTATCACCCCACAGTCCATGTGTCTGTGGACGGGGCCCACTCAGCTGAAGAGCAGATGGCGGAATACAGAGGAAGGATGATGCCTGATGCTATCCCTGAGGGAAGCTGACCCTGCAGATACATGATGCCAGAACTTCAGATGATGGGCAGTACCGGTGCCTTTTTGGGAAAGATGGTGCCTACCAGGAGGCCCGCATGGATGTCCAGGTGATGGGTAAGGATTCCAGACAGGTCTTTGGCCTCTCACGCCTAATGCTGTGACAGATGCTGGTTCCTGGGAGATCTCTCTGGCACCCAAAATACTCACCACGCTCATTCATTTTCAAGTTTATATTGAACTTTCAGTGTAGTAACCACCATAGACACTTCAAGATCACAACTTCAGGAATGCTGATTTGAAGTTTTTAAATAATTTTTTTACTAATCCTTGTAACATGAAAAATAAAAACCCAGAGACAAATATCGTGTTTCAAGCTGAAGATCAGAATAGCAATGCAACCAAGCCACTAGCTCTTACCTCAGACCAAAATGGGTGATCCTGTCTCCACGAATCCTCAGACTGCAATGCTCTCTCTGACTGGAAACTAAACCTCACATGAGACCCTTTGCTCTTCCTTTTAACCTCCTTAGTGCTGGGATTAAAGGTGTGAGCTCTGTTATTCTTTTTGGTTGATTCACTCTCATGTAGCCCAGGGTGGTCTTGGACCCACGAAAACAATCTGCTTCTGTCTCCTGAGCCTTGGAATTAAAGGTGTATTCCTCCACCACCTGGCTTCTCTGGCTAGCTAGTATGGCTGCTGGGATTAAAGGTGTGTATCACCACTGCCAGGCTCTATGGCTGTGACTACCTTTGCATTTTGATCCCAGTGGCTTTATTCGATCATAAATAATATATCACCACAAATTATCTGAGAATTTCAAACCATGTATTTTTATCATATTCTCCCCTAACTCCCCCCAGTTAACTCTCCCAAGATCCACCCTCCCTTCTTTACCCTACAACTTCCTAGCCTTTTTTATTATTAATTTAATAACCCATCAACTCCAGTTTGTGCTGTCCATATACTGAGGGGGGTGGAGCCATCCACTGGAGCATTATCAGCCTACCAGGAGCCACACTCTCAGGGAGAACTGTCTAACCCCTCCCCTGAAGCGATCAACAGTCCACAGCTCCTCAGCTGGGGCGGGGCTCTTCATCCCTCACTTCTATGCTGATGTGCTTGGTGTTGTGAGCTCAGTGGTCCTGTCACAGTCAGACCGTTCCAGTGCCCACCCCAAACCTCTGACTCTTACAACCTCCCTACTTCACCCTTCCATGGTGGTGGCTCAGCCCTGGGTGATGGGAGCCGGACACAGATGTCCCACTTGTGGCTGAGCACCCCCAATGACACTTCTCTGCACTTTGACAGTGTGAGCTTCTGTCTTAACCACCACTCGATGCCCAGAGAATCTTGTCTGATGAGGTCTGAGAGCTGTGCTAATCTCTGGGTACCCAGATAAAGAATTTGGAAGGCATTTTGATACTGTGTCCATTTAGCAAAATAACAAACAGTAGTAGAGTCACTGCCATGAGTTCTTGGCCAGACTGGCAGTACCAGGCATTGCTGTGGTTTAAAATTTTAAGTATTAGGACAATCAGGAAAGCAGGACTCTCAACCACCTCCATAAAGTAGTCATAGGTTCCAGGAAATCTGAGAATATTCCCCATAACTTTATGCAAGAAACATTATTTCACAGTGTTACTGAGATTCTGGGGACTATGCAGTTTCAGGAAGTGTACTGATTTGAAGACTCAGATAGATCTACCACATACACAGAACTCGTAAAGACTGACAGATTTGCTGTGCTCAGAGGGTGGCAGACAAGTCACCCAAGAACTATCTCTACAAGGTCAGCAAATGTTAACCAGGACATAGGCCCAAATCTTGGCTATCCTTCATATTTCCTTCTCTGAGTCCAAGTCTAAATTAGTGAGCAGATTCTTGAATGACTAGGGGATTTCTACATCACGACATCACTTTCTGCCTCTGCCTTGAGAAACATCTCCTAGCCAATTTCTTCCATGCTGCCCATATGTCTCATGTCTGATCAAAGCCACTGTTTTCAGGGCCACGAGAAAAGAGATGAGAGTCGAGGTTACAATATATATATATATATATGAAATTTTACCTAATATGAAATTTTACCTACTATAAGACTTTGGAATAGAAAAACAGAACAAGAAACCCTGTAGCCAGTCCCAGCTCCCAGAGGGTGGCCATTGGCCCAGAGCTCTGCTGTCCTCCCCAAGCCTCTCTTGCCTCCCCCTCCCTCAGGGAAGCATGCCAGGCTTCATCTCTGCTGCCTTGGTCTCTGTCCCCAGCGGTGGGCTCCACCCCACACATCACCCAGGAGGTCCTGAAGGATGGAAGCATGCAGCTGAGGTGTGCATCCCATGGGTGGTTCCCGAGGCCCCACGTGCTGTGGAGGGACGGAGGCGGAAGGGCTGTACCTTCACTTTCTGAAGCCTTCCATCAAGAAAGCCAGGGGCTGTTCCAGGTGGAGACGCTCCTGCTGGTCACCAACAGGTCCGTGGTGAATGTGACCTGCTCCCTCAGCCTCCCTGGAGGCGAGGAGAAAGCTGCTAGGCTTCCTCTCTCAGGTTGGTGACTGCATGTCTTCCTCTGCTGTGGGAAGTGTCAAAACGGTTTGCCACTTACAGGAAGCTGCGTTTTTTGTTTGTTTGTTTGAGAGGTTTCATGTGCTCGGACGGCCCTGGGACTTGTGCTCCTCCTGCCTCCACTCGTGAGTGCTGGGATTCCTGGTCTCAGCCGCTGCTGCAGCTACTGTCCTCCCGTCCCTGTTCCTCTCCTGAATCTCCTCCTCCTCCTCCTCCTCCTCCTCCTCCTCCTCCTCCTCCTCCTCCTCCTCCTCCTCCTCCTCCTCCTCCTCCTCCTCCTCCTCCTCCTCCTCCTCCTCCTCCTCCTCCTCCTCCTCCTCCTCCTCCTCCTCCTCCTCCTCCTTCCCTTCCTCCCTCCCTCCCTCCCTCTCTCTCATGGATGTTTTCTGTATTAGAAATCAATTTTCCTCAAGACTCTTTTAGTTTTATATAGATATAGCCTGGGAGACTACATTTCACCACAGTAGTTATTATTCCAGTCATTCTGTGATGCCGTGATGTAATTGGAAACAGAGGAGGAAAGTGGGCGGGGCACAAAGCTAAAATTGCCTGCTATTCTTGGCTTCTGTGAAATCGAGTGACCCAGTCCTCAGGCTGCTCCTGTGAAAAGAGACATCTTCACATTTTCCAAGTCTCATGACTTCCTGGGGTTTGCATTTCAGACTCCAAGATAGCTTTGTTATGGATGGCCCTGCCTGTTCTGGTGCTGCCTCTTGCCATGGCCATTGACCTGATCAAGGTGAAGCACCGCTCCAAAGGTAAGTGGGTGAATAGAACGGACAGACACTTGGCCATTCTTCAGCAACTGATGAGTCCCAGGAGTCCCTGGCTTACATTCATGCCATCAAGATTCCGTAATGAATGAGCTTGGAGTTCACACATGAAACAGCAATGGGGTTAAAACACAATTCACAGGGGGCTAGAGAGATGGCTCAGGGAATGTGAGGCTCCCATGGATCTGGTAGTTGGAGTCTTGGTGACTTCATTCTCTCAGCTTTATCTGGTCTCAAGGTGACAATGAAGTCATGAAACCTCAGTACAGATGGAGAAGAGGACCCAGCAGGAGGTTAGGAGGGGGCTGCAAAGCTAGATGGCTTGGGAGTTAAGAGCATTGGTTGCTCTTGCAGAGGACCTGAGTGCAGTTCCCAGCACCCACATGGTGGCTCACAACCATTTGTAACTCCACTTCGAGGGCACTGACACCTTCTTCTGGCCTCTGCAGGCACCAGACATGTGTGGTTCACAGACATACATGCAAACAGGCAAAAAAATACTCATAGACATAAAGTAATAAAAGTGAATAATTTTTAAAGGAAGTTGGAAAAAGAGACAAAGGTGGGCAGTAGGAAAGAAGAATGACAACAAAGTTTGGTGACATCTGTGTAAGAAAATGCCACAATGGAACCTATCACTTGGGGCTGGAGAGATACCTCAGGGGTTAAGATCACTGGCTGCTCTTGCAGAGGACCTGGCACCCACATGGCCGCTCATAACTGTAACTCTAGTTCTAGGGAAGTTGTTTAGCCTCAGGCTTCTTGTACAGCCTTTCCAATACCCAACCATGATCCCCTGCTCTCATCTGTTATCCCATCCCCACCACCAAGCAGGAAAGCTCCAATCTGCTAATTCCTTCAGTCAAGTGAACTAAACCTTATCTGGTCCCCAACTTGTGGTGCTCCATCTCTCTATCAGCGTACAAATTACTCAAACCAGTCACATGCTTTCTTTGAAACCAGGGCCATCTCCCAGTTACCACAGAGCTGCCTCCTGAAGCTCCCATTGGTCCCTTGGCCCCCAAGTGCCTCTCTGTGTCCCTGTACATACATGACCATGTCATCTCACCCCATACCATGAGTTCAGGTTGACCCATCCAGCAGGCCAGGTTATTTGTGGGTCTCGAGGGGGTATCACCTAGGGGGTCAATGGGGGTGAGAGAGGAGGGAGACCAAGCGCATAATGAAAGGCAGAGTCAGTCTGAGTCGCGTCAAGGTCTCGTTTATTGAAGGGTAAATCTTGCTTATATGCAGAGGATTTTGCTCGGGGTGGGGTAGGAGGGTAGGAGGAATTTTAAGAGGAAGTGAAGATAAGGTTGGCCTTGGCCCATGTCCTTGTGACCGGTCAACCACAGCCTATTCCGAGAAGTAAAGGAACAACATGTTTTGAGCAACATATCTAAAAAGAACATCTTGTGGCTAGAACAGGTCAGAGCGGGTGGCTGTACAAGATCTTGCTCGGGATTCTCTTTGGCCCTCAACAATTCCCCCCTCTATACTTAAAAATGAGAGGGGCTTTAAAGCTTTCGTCAGAGAGAGCCTCTGTCTTAGGCTGTGTAGGCTGCACCCATGGTCAGGCAACGTGCCATGTTGAGCCGGTCTTGACGACCTCTGTACGTTGTTGCTTCCTGCCCCAGGACCTACACGTATTCCCGTCATTGAGTACTCTCTTACCAATTGACCAGCTTTTAAGGGTGGAGGTTATTCAATCTGAGCCTTTGGTCGCCAAATCCGGGCTCTTGTTGTGACCTTTGTTCTTCCCCAAGATCTTTATCAACAGCTAATTTATGATAATGGACCGAAATATTTCTAGGTAAGGCCGCATCAATCTGTCTCTTTGTAAGCTGGGTGAGTCGTTGAAAGGCCCATGGGCCAAAGGAAAGAAGAAGAAGAAAGACAATCAGGGGGGCTACAAGGGTAGGGAACAGGGTAGACAGCCAGGGGGATCCTTGTAGCCAGTTTGAGAACCATCCTTTTTGGCTTTCAAAATCTCTCTTTCGTTTCGCCAATCTGTCTCTCAGGATCTCCATGGATTCCTTAACAATACCAGTATGGTCAGCATAGAAACAACATTCTTCCCTTAAAGCAGCGCGAAGGCCACCTTCCTTAAGGAATAGGAGGTCCAGCCCTCTTCTATTTTGCAAAACCACCTCAGATAGAGAGGTTAAAGATTTTTCCAGAGCAGTGATGGATCTTTCTATAGCCTCAAGATCCGTGGTCATTGCTATTTGTAATTGCAATAGCTGATTGTTTTGTACAAGAGCAGCTATTCCGGTTCCTATACCGGCAACAATGCCACCGATCCCCAGCATAAGGGCAATGGTCATAGAGACAGGCTCTCTCACGACTCTGTGCCGTGCCTGCGAGACCAGGATCTCCCCTGAATAATATTTGAGGCCAAAGCTGCACCAAAATGCAATATTCATCTGAAACATTAAAGCCTAAAGCAAATATGCAGGGCGTTAAGCCTGTATTGCAGGCCCGGTTCCCAGGGCCGGACCAACCGATGGGGTAATGGGGGTGGACAACTGGGCAGGAGATAAGGTAGTCAGCTGATGAGTTTGAGCAGGCTTAGGTAGAGCTTTTGTCCCTTGATCAGGGAGAACCTGATTTGGGCCTACAGGTTTTGAAGGGGGATCAGCCCTTTGTAGTTGAATCATAAAGGTGGTAGCGGGGTCCGTTCCGGACACATAAAGGCGGAGGCCCCAGATTTTTCCTCCCGTCCAATCTGTTGTTTTCCCAATTCTGTAAAGGAAATTTTTAGCAGATTACATCGCCCTCCTTCCGTGGCATACAGCCGATGGGGATAAAGCTTGGAATCATAACACGCACCGCATGGTTGGTTATTTGCGCAGCGAGAGGTGCCTGGGAGACTACGATTGTAGGGCTCGACCTTGATAAAATCAGTAGTCACAGGGGCTGTCCACCAGATATGTCCAGTGCTAACACAGCTCCAGGCGGCACAATAGCCGTCCTGGGGTCCACCACATAGAGTGGTTAGGTAACGTGATAATGGACTGAAATATTTCTAGTTAAGGCCGAATCAATCTGTCTCTTTATAAGCTGGGTCAGTCGTTGAAAGGCCCATGGGCCAAAGGAAAGAAGAAGAAGAAAGACAATCAGGGGGGCTACATATAGATCTGGGAACCATTTTCCAAAAGGAAAGTCTGCGGAGGTATTGGATGTGGCAACACCCCCGGTGGAGAGGTTAATGATGGCCCATTTCTGGGGGGTAGGCATGTTTGGCTGGCTTCAGCTGCGGCAGCGGTCATGAGCATGGAGCAGAGAATCTGGAACATAATCCCCGGCCATCTTTCTTTTCTCGAGTTGGCATCAAATTGTTGAGGATCATCCAGGTGTAGTTGTAGATCTGATAAGGGCTTCCAGCGGCAATGGCAATCGAAGGTGATAAACGCCCAAGTAGCCAGAAAGACAGCATCTTTTATCTAGAATTAAGCAGAATTAGAAGTCTTCTCAGGGGCTTCCCCTGGGAGTATTAAAAAGGCATTTAGGCAACCATCTAGCATTATTGGCCTGAGTATTAAAATCCATGCATGTCCTTTTCCCCAAATGAGGACCGGATCTGGTCCGTGCCATTTGTAAGTTAGGGGATCTTTACACAAGGCTTGAGCATAATTTTGAGCCGTTCATGGATGCCAGAGGCGATCCTCGGCTGATTGTTCTGTAGCATCATACATGAGGAAATTTAACATAAACAATGAATGGTATAGAACTCCTCCTCCTTAGGCAACCTGGTGGCCGCCCGCTCTCTGGAGGTCACCATATTGATGCCGAACTTAGTGCGGACATCCGATCAGCATAGCGCACTACAGCCCAAAATTCCTAGACTCAAGTGATCTCCTGTCTCAGCCTCCCAAGTGCTGGGATTAAAGGCGTGCACCACCAACACCTGGCTTGTATATCCCGCCAGCTCAGGAGCGCTGCTGCCTGAGCTGTGGGCTCGCCTCGCCTCATGTCTTACCACCGCTATAAAAGCTCGGAGGCAGGCGTTTCACTCCCCCAAGTCAGCAGCATGCTGCGTCCCCAAAGGCCCAAAGGCCCAGCCGTGCCCGCCACTATGGCTGGGCAGGCAGGTCCACGAGGCGCGCAGGGCGGGACTAGGCCACATGGGCTGTTCCGGTAGCACTGGTCTCGGGAATTAAGCACAAAATTGTTGGAAAACTTTGCTAGTATATCTAGACCCATTATCTGTTTTTACAACTTTTGGCATTCCCATGTAAGCAAAACATCTTAAACGATGACTTATAACATGCCTGGTGATGCCAAACACTGTAATGTGAGTCACATCCATTCACCATAAATGGTTAGTGAGCAGGCCTTGAGGATTCATCCTTAAGTTAGCCATAGCCATATTGTGGACATAGTCCACATTGTTTGATGATTTGATCAGAAGTCTCTCTGGTTAGGCCAAATTTCTTATTTAGACTTGCTATTATGATGAAGAAAAGTTACAAGCCTGTTGAGCTTTTTCTATTTAAGGCAAATCAACTGATTTTATTAGTCGATAATTTATTCCATTTGGTCAGTAATCAGGGAAAGACCTATTTAATAGGTTTCCCGTGTGACCCATAAACATGATAATTCTTAGGTGAATAACATTTTGAATTTGCTCAAATAACATTTTGACTTGGCTGTTACCAGATCCTGTGCATGGGACTGTTTCTGTTACCTTTTAAGCCTTAAATACACAGTGACTGTCAGTATACAAATTAAATGAATTATTTACCAGGATTTAAAAAACCAAAAGCTTGCAGTTTGATTATTTGAGCTGAAACCAGAGCTGTCTGCTCTATCTATTTCTTTCTATTAATAACCTATGTAAGTGACTCTCCCAATAGAACTATTGGTAAAAAATTAACATAGCATATTTTTATGGGACTGCTTTTTACAATTTTGGAAATACAAAGGGATGTATAGTGAAAATTGTAACAGTCCATGAACTAGAAATTGATTATCAATTCTTCCTGAAAACTGAGCAAAGACAATCGCCCATAAATCATTGTTCTGAAACCATCAATTAAACTGTTGCTTAGAGTAGGAGGCATGTATCATACTTGGTTTTCTCTATATGGCATTTCTGTACCAAGTAGGCTAATGCTTTAAATTAAGGGTTTAAAATATTTAGGCTGGCAAGATGGGTAGGCATAACCATAGTAATGGTTCCTTCTGCCATAAATCAGAAGTCAGACTATGCTTTGTAGGGAGTACATAAGTTTCCCATGGTTTTGCATAGTCAATATATCTGATGATGTCAAATTATAGAACTTGTCTACCTTCTTAGTTAGCTGGATCATTATCTCCTGTAGAATCTTACTTAAAGGATTTAAATCATCATTAGATGTCCCCCAAAAAAGGTACTTAACCAATGAATGTTTTATTAATTTCTTTAGAATACAACATACGTCCTTAACAATTTTCCAGATTTAAAGTTTCTGAGTAGCCTTCTTTTAATCTAACCTTCGAAGCTGACAAGCTGATAAGACCTCATTTGCATGTTAGCTGACCTGCCAAGCTATGAATCTAACAGGTTGGCTCTTTTTGAGGCTTCTCACAAACCCTTTTTAAAATAATGTTTTAACTTTAATTTTCCAGATTTTCTTTTTTTTCTTTTTTTTCATAAAAATTTGGTAAGACCTATATCCTCTCATCTGCCAAATTTTATAGAATCATCCATAGATTTCTCATGTCTCTAAGCTAATGCTATAGGCTTTTGCTAACTTTTTAATTGACTGTCTCCTAGGGCTCAAATAATAATTTCTCCTGTTAAGGCATTGACTGACTGGATGGATGCTCTTTTTGAGCCTATTAAAGTGATTTTGATGTTTTTTAATCTATATCCGAGGCAATGTAAATATCTCTAATCATATCCAAGGCAATTTAGGCATTTTCATTCATTTGCATTCATAAATTCACAATCACATCACGCATCCAGGTGTGGCCACACCGTTCATTCATAACTTGCATACGTCTCACATTTCTCCTTTTGC